TTCATATGTACTGTCTTTTTAAAGTAGGGATCATACATCTGAAAAACATAAATATGTAGAGTTAAGATAGTCTAGGCATAGATAGAATCACAGAATCATTCAGGTTGGAAAAGACCTTTGAGATCATCAAGTCCAACCATCAACCCTACTCTACTAAGTACACCCCTAAACCATATCTCGGAATACCACATATAAGCGACCTTTAAACATATGAAGGGATGGTGACTCAACTACCTCCCTGGGCAGCCTGTTCCAATGTCTGACAACCCTTTCCGTGAAATTTTTTTTCCTGATGTCTAGCCTAAATGTACCCTGGTGCAGCTTGAATCTTTTCCCTCCTGTTCTATCATTAATTACCTGTGACAAGACACCAGCACCTACTTCTCTACAATGTCCTCTCAGGTAGTTGTGGAGAGCAATAAGGTCTCCCCTCAGCCTCCTTTTCTTAAGGCTAAACAGCCCCAGTTCCCTCAGACACTTTTCATAAGACTTGTTCTCTAGGCCGTTCGCCATCTTTGTTGCCCTTCTCTGCACTCTCTCCAGCACCTCAATGCCTTTCTTGTAGTGAAGTGCCCAAAACTGAACACAGTACTTGAGGTGTGGCCTCACCAATACCGAGTACAGGGAGACGATCACCTCCCTACTCCTTCTGGCCAGACTATTCCTAATACAATCCAGGATGCTGTTGGCTTTTTTGGCCACCTGGGCACACTGCTGGGTCATGTTCAGACACTTGTCAATCCGTACCCCCAGGTCCTTTTCTGCTGGGCATTTTCAGCCACTCTTTCCCAGGCCTGTAGCATTGCATGGGGTTGTTGTGGCCTGAGTGCAGGACAGTGCTTCACCTCATTGAAGCTCACAATTGACCTCAGCCCATCCATCCAGCCTGTCCAAGTCCCTCTGTAGAGCCTCACTACCCTCCAGCAGATCAACACTCCCACCTAACTTGGTGTATTCTGCAAATTTACGTTCTACCCCTTTGTCGAGATCATTGATAACTATGTTAAACAGAAGTGGCCCTAGTACTGATCCCTGCGGAACACCACTTGTGACCAGCTGCCAGCTGGATTTAACTCCGTTGATCACCACTCTCGGGGCCTGGCTGTCCCACCAGTGTTTTACCCAGCAGAGCGTATGCTCATCCAAGCCATGAGCAGCCAGTTTCTTCACTAGAATTCTGTGGGAAACAGTGTCGAAGTCTTTACAGAGGTTGAGGTAAACGATATCCACACTTTTCGCTCATCCATCACACGCGTCATTTTGTCATAGAAGGAGATCAGGTTCGTTAAGCAGGACCTGCCTTTCATAAACCAATGCTGACTGGGCCTGATCACGTGATTGTTTTGTAAACGACTCGTAGTGGCACTCAAGATGATCTGCTCCATGACCTACCCTGGCACCGAGGTCAGACTTACAGGTCTGTAGATGTATATGATTAGGAATATATGGTCACTTATAAATTACTTATAATTTATAAATGACAATTTTTATAATCTAATGTATACTTTTTCCCTATCTTTTTAAGTCTTTTATGAATATATTGATTTGTTATTTTATGAGGAAGAAATTTTATGCTTCTTTGTGTATTTTTTTTGTAACAAGCAGTGTCAGATCTACATCAGCCTGTCAACGTTGTGATATTGGAGTGATCACACACATAACAATGATCTGGCTGCTTTTGTCTGAATATGATGTTTTAAAGTAGCAATTCAGAAAACAAATCTACTGACCATGTGTATACATGGTACTCTCCATATTAAACTTTTATTCATAAAATTGTAGCTTTAGTTCCCTAGTTTAATATTAATAATTTAGTATTAATAAAATCAGAGCTTTAAGCCATTGGTGCATTTATCAGTTGCAACTACAGATATAAATCATGCTGAGTAGCAGTCACTCCTAAAGGATGTCTGGCATGCCCAATATCTATATGCAGCACATATATCAGTACTGCAGTACCTAGATATGAGAATACGTAAGCCATGCTCCAGTTACAGAGCATTTTGTGAAGCTTGTGTGCCTCTTGGGACAATCACCCACAATTCCAGGTGGTGTCTTACAGAGATGAGTTCTAGGACACTCCCAGAGTGAGTATGGGGAAAAGTGTGTCTCTGAGTTGAATTTTCATTGCAGAGGAACAAATTATCAAACCTGAGAGCAAGCAGCACCAGTTAACTAACCTGAATTTGAAGAACTTTCACACTTAGCCCAGAGGAGTTTGTGACTGATTGGGTTAGGCATAAGAGATATGAAATCTCTAGTAAACCAATTATTATTAAAGAAATCAGGAAGAGTTTGGAAAATTCAGCTTCTTCTGAATATCTCTTTGCAGGCTAAGAATTACTATTATTGTATTCTAGAAATTTGAAGGAAGCAGCATCAGTCCATTATTATCAGTGTGTTGGTGCTTCAAGGCTCTTCATCTTTTCATGAACAGCCATTTTGAAGATGGGTAATGTGATAACAATCTCTTACTATATAATAAATAAATTTTAATCTAGCTTAAATTAGTTAGCTTCTTGTGGTTACAGCTTTTTCCTCAACGTATTTCAGACTGGGCAAATACCTACAGAATTCACAGAAATTATTACAGTATTTTATCTTAATTAACAATTTTAGCATTCCAACATGTATTAAACACTGATTCAGCATAGGCCCAGTGTGCAACATGTTCTCTCTCTATTAAGTAGACTGTTACACATGAAAAATCACATTGAAAGCTGTAGTACTGATCAGGAGGTCATGACAATGGACTGCAACAGCTGCAGAATAAAGTGACTGCAGCCACTTGGAGTGAAAAGCTTCTGTACTGCTTCTTCATACTGTGAGAAGTTAAACCAATTCCTTCACCTCTGCCTTGATCTTAGTGTCAACATTTTAATGTAGCTGCCAGAAGTGAGTATAGAAATTATACTGTCCTCTGATATTACTTTCTCCCATGTATTTCATTTTATTTTTGACCATTTTATTTTTAAAGCCCATATGGTTTGCATTGAATTCTGTGAGCATTTGTGTGAGCATAAAAGTAGCAAAATTGTTTTCTTACTCAAAGCTTTGAGCTTCCAACCCTTTGGAAATGTGTCCCTTTGCGTTTTGCAAAGCACTGTATACGTCTTCAGTAATTACAGAGGCTGTGGACCTTTGTAATTATGTAAGTAATACATGGGCAGTAAACCTCTGCAAACCTTAACTCACATTAACAAGCTAGAAGGAGATATTTCTTGATCATGTCTATGCTAGAAGAATTCCTAGTAAAGAAAAAATCTAAAATAAACAAATTTCCTTTGTGTCCAGATATTTACAGCACAGGCATAGCGTGATACTGCAGACTCTGCCAGCTGAGACCACAAGGTATCCATTTAAAGGCTCGGGTTTTATGCTCAAACTAAAAATAAGGAGTTTGAGATACCCATCACAGGTTGTCTTTTATTTTATGCATTTATCTGCACAGTGTTTCTGAATTGACCTGATGGTTAAGTGCTACAGATAATAAGTGTATTAATTCTTACTATTTGTATTAAAAAAGGTTTTGACGTTTCCAGTTATGGTCATTTAGGTCCATCTGACTTTGTGCTGAAACTGGATTGTTTCACCCTTTCACCAGAGCTGTGGTTCTTGCAGAGGCAGAGTTTGCCCTGTAATTGGTTGATTTTTTTAAAGCTGTGTTTGAGTCTTTCCTGTTTTCCCCCATTTCCTTAATTTCATTTCGTTCAGTGTTTTGCTTGTATACAAACCAAGAAATGTTTTTTCTTTCATTTACAAAGTTTAATATCCTTAAAACCTTCTCACTTTCTCCTCCCGTTCCCAAATACAAGTACATACTTTCTCAAGATTGCTTACAAGCTCCACTTAGTGTTACAAGTTGGAGGTTCCCACTCTGTCTGGTTTGATGACAGAGGGGAAGCTATTCTACATTATTTCACTAACACCAGTATTCTGCACAAGTGCAGTAGTGGGAATAACACAGGATTATCCTGGTGACTGTGCTGCTAGCACAGGTACTGTCAGTTGTGTTTTTCATCTCTTGCCCCATCTGTTTTGCATTCTTGCTATTGTAGCAAGAGCCATCGCAGAGCAGCATTTGTGTTTGAGCGCATGCAGTCAAGATTAAAAGTGCAGGAGTTGCATAATGTCCAAACCAAGCTCTACCTTTCTCAGGAACATAAATCATCTACTCATCTGTTTTACAGATGTTAAGTCTGTCGTTTGTAGCAAATATCCATCTGGAAGACGCTTGCTCATATCACCCATTTTGTGTAAAATGGTTAGTTAGACCTCACAGGCAGTTACTCTGGCACTTTCCTTCACAGTAAATAAGGGTAATGCAGTTCACCTGGTTTATAGCACATGAACTTTAACTATTCAACCATGCCAGTATTTAAAGATGAAAATGTAAATAATACTTATTTTTATATATATGTGAAATGTCAAATATTAAAGAAAAGGGAGACTGGCTACACATCATGGTTGATATTTTAATATTCAGAAAAGGCAAAAGTACCAGGTCGGTTATTGCTGAATGGATTATATGGGAAAACTCAGCCATGGAACTAGCAGACTGCCAGAAAGGACAACAAAAGAGATCTTTGATATTTTATTTGGTTTTGATTTTGTTTTCCATATTAAACTTCAAAATCAAATAGACTTAAAAGTCTTTAAAATAATTTAGCATTAAAATTTTTACAAACACACTTACCGTACATTGTTTCAAATATATAATCTGTTATTTCTCTGTTAGATATTCCCAAGCGGGTTATAAGAACTTTTTAAGAGATGCAGACAATAAAAAAAATCCCCTTTATTGGAAAGATATGAAGACAAAACAATTTTGTTGTCCTCTTCAAAAATTCTGGTTGCCCTTTGCAATTCAGGATGGCTGCCATCTGTTTGGCCTTTTCCCATCAGGATTCTGCTATAATGATGAACTCTGCACAGCATGTACAGAAATTGTTCTCAAGCTTATGTTAACAGTGCTGATAATATATTTTTTAGGTTTCCTCTACGCTCAGAACAGTACCAAACGCAGCATTAAAGAGCGACTTATGAAGCTCTTGCCCTGCTCGGCTGCCAAAACGACATCTCCCGTTACTCAAAGCAAGTTTTAATTTTCATTTGATTTTTTTTTTTTTTTTTAGGTTTGCATGCATCAAAAGTTATACTTTCATTAACTTCTCATTTCAGAGACGAGATATCTACTGAAGTAATCATATGCTCTATTGAGGTTTAAAAGGAAGTGATGAACAGATTTGTGGGCCGGTAACAGATTTGTCTGTGCAGAGCAAGATGGCAAGATACCGGTGCCAGGGTCTGCCACACAGGAGCTGCTGGGTTGGCACTTAAGCTCTGCAAGCTAGCTGAGAAGCAGTTCACTGGTTAAATTAAATACCTGCTCTCAATGTATTTGAAAAGTGGTATCTTTTTGTGTACCTGTGTGCACATGTCTGTGTGTGCTTTCTATCCGATACACAGGATAGTATCAGCAGTACTGGTCTGGGAGGAAAAGCTTGGCTCTGCAGGTTTTGGCTATGTAACATCAGAGACCTAAAGTATGTGTTTGCAAGACAAATAAAAGTGAGATTAAAAACAAAGTCTGTGAATGTAGAGATAAAGGAAAAGCACACTTAAACTACCTTTAATGTCTTTATATGCTGTGAGGAAGTAAAATCTCTCCAGGGTAGTTAATGGATAAAAATAGAGGAGGGGGAGGGAGAGAGATCCATACATAGATACATACATGGATATATACCTAGATAGAGATAAATCATGGTAATAACACTAATGTCTTCCTATATAAATTGGCTACAATAACTGATTTAAAAATACCCCTGCAGACCAAATTCAGTCTAGATTAATTTGGCTTAATTCTAGGCACTAATCTGAACACCTAAAATTACAAACTGAGTGGTCCCTGTGCTTCCTGTATACTCTTCTGATAAAGCATATCAATGAACCTTAGGTAAAAAAATACCTCCAAGAGCAGTTCCTTGTGTTCAGTGATTATGGGACAACCTGAGGCAACCTGGCTACAAACACAGGCCCCTATAAAGTGCCTAGACTTCAGTGGTATGCATGTAGGCTTTCTTTTTTCTACCTCACTTCACTGTTTTTCATATGCTCCTCTATAGAGAAGTCTATGGTACTTGCTTTCTAACTATTTGAGATCTCAAAGATGAAAAGCACTAAAGATGTGGATGCACAGTGACTTTTTCATGGTGACTTCAGATGATGTGTTTTACTTGAAAATAGGGTAGCTTAAGAAGGTCAGTTACTGTCGTGACACCTGCTAGTAATTCGTTAGGTAGAAGTTGCTTTCAGCTACATGGCCTGCGTAATATAGCCTTAGACTATAAAAGGAATCATAGAATCATGGAATCACTGAATCACAGAACAGTTTGGGTTGAAAGGAACCTTTAAAGATCGTCTAGTCCAACCCCACAGGGACACCTTCCACTAGATCAAGTTGCTCAAAGCCTCATCCAACCTGACCTTGCACACTTCCAATGATGGGGCATAGAACGGAAAAAGGAAATAGAATAGAAGGAATAGAAGGTTTGATCTGTTTCTTTGAAATTGGTTGGAGATAAACATATTATTATTCCTTGCATGTTTCTATGAGAGCTTTTTGTCTGCACAGATAACAAAAAATATTTAGTCAGTCTTAATAACCTTGACCATTCAAAACTCGTATTTTCATGCTGAAAATGTTTTATAAACAAGAAGATAAGTCAAAATAAAACTTGCATTAAATATTTCATATTTGAGAACCAACTAGTAGAAAAAGATACATTCAGCATTTTTCTCCATACTCTCGTCAATAATGAAATGCTATATTAAACAAGAGTATTATATTAAATGAAAGTATTATATTTAATAAGACTGGCTGTAGACACAGATTGTTATTATCCCATTCTGACATAATGTGCTATTTGATTTCTACTAGCATGAAAGAAGCGACATTGTAATGCACTAGGAGCAAAGCCAGCACTGCCTACAATAATAACCACATAATGTGTTTTGCTTAGAAATTTTAAGGGGAATATTTTTAAAACAAATAATTTGTTGAAATATACGTAGTGTGAATTTGCACTTCTGCACTTAACTTCTATCAATATATGCAGAAGAAGGTTACTTGAATAAATAAAATCTTATTTCAACATTCCAATTCAACAGAGCGTGTCAAAGAATGTTTTTTCTTACTTAAATCTGTCTTTCCTTAGATAATTTTTAAATGCATGTGCTAGAGATAGGAACAGACTCAGGAATTGTTTTGGAAAATAAAAGCGTGTATGTGTGCAGTTACTAAATAGATAGAGGAACTATAATTTGGAGTTTGTGCAGGCAAATGCCTGTGCACAATTTTTACAGGTGAAACTGTATGAAACTCAGTATGAACTGAACCCTAACTTTGGACATGCTTTTCCAATTGCCATTATTTGAAGAGTATATCTGATTTTTGCGTTGCTTTTACCGTTTTGTTCTTTAATGAACAATGAAAGGTTCAAAGCCTGGCTCCTGTGGCAAATACATTAAAAAAACTGTCTTTACTATTTAGCTGGAAGAAATCTAGTCATTAATGAAATCAGTAAGAATGTTTTGTTTAGTATATTAATGAGTGAATATGAACTTGTTTCTGTTTGTCAGTTGACATATGTTAGCCTTTTATGAAAAAAAAAAAAAAGAACCCCTAACTTTCTCAGACTGAAGAAACTAGACGACTGAAATAACAAATTCTTCATTAATGCTATAAAAATCATTAATGTTTAGAAATAGATGTATTTTCACACATTTTTTAAAGTTTAGGGTTTTTTTCTGGCCTGGATAACAGTAACCATAAGTGTGAAGAAAAACATTAAAAACCTGCAAGTGGCTGATGAATGCTGTAGTGTTTTAATCAGCATAGTTGGCTGATGATAAGGAAGTTTATGGTCTTGTTTTTTGATTATTTGTATATATAAAAGTCTACAGAAATAAAGTGAGAAGACTGTTATACTGAAACTTTTCATTAACAGAAAGACAACATCACCACACTGCAGTGTTCTACATTCTCACCTAATCATTAAAACACAATAAAAGTATTTATTACTAAGGATAGACCAAACATTGTGCTCAGCAACACATTGTCTGGCCTTTATCTCTAGCCTCACATTCATTATGTATATTCACTTAGCTTCTAGAACAGCTTGTAGATGTCTCTCCAGGTAGCCAGATGTTTCACAAATGGATGCTTAGAGAGCTTATTTCCAGTTAAGTCCCTTTCTGTCTAAACAGTAGCCCATTTAAATCCTGTATATCTTCTGGCATATAGAACACAACTGACTTTTCAACAATATCTATTCTCAGGTCAATTTAGTATAAGCACCTAGTGTTGACTTGCAGTTGATTAAAAAAAAAACCACCATTCAGCTGCATATCTACAGCATGACATTGTTATTGGGACTTTAGCAACTATATAAATAACATAAAAATATCTTAAAACATGGTGGGAAGGCTTTAAAAACCTTGCAAAAATAAACTGTGGATGTTCTTATGCAGAATTAAAGGAGGATTCAAGAACTCTGCTACATCTTCCCTAGATTAGGAAGACGTCTTCTTAAATCTCAACCGGCTTTATTCCAGTTTCATCTGTAAAGGCAGGATTTTCGAGACTCCCCCTCTGTAGCTCTTTTGTAAGAAAAGAACTAAAATGTTATTATAATCATTTGAGTTGAGATACTGGCCCTTTAAAACTTTTATCAAACATAATAAAGTCAATGTAAAGTTGTGTCAGTTGGGTTTTTTTTGTCAATAGAGTTTAGATTGGAAGTTTTCGCAAAGATGGTAGTGGTCTATGAGTCATTCAAGATAACCTATAAGGAAAAATGAAAGAGAAACATGTTATAGCTTGTCCACAAGCCAGCACAGAATGGACATTCTGAGGTAAGACTATGGGTGACACTGAGATCATCTTCCTGAGATGAGTGCCAACAGCAACATCGCTTTGACAGGAGAAAAGACAAGGTCCTACAATTTTGTGAAAATTTATCCAAATAGTTTATATATTTTGGTTATATCTATTTAAAGTTTGTTCATTTTTTCTTCAGCTGAACTGACTTGATGCCAGATTTCTCCCAAGCAGCTGAAAGTTATTATTACTCCATTGTAGCAGAACAAAAATATGTGAAGATGTAAGCATAATATGGTTTTAATGGAGTATTCTAATATTGTGTTCTTATGAACACTGAGCTGAATAAAACTTTATTTTAAGAATGCAGAGTCCCACACTTTGATGAAATAAAATATATTTCTTCAGCATTGTAGAACTGACAATTATACATGTTTGTTTTCTCTCAAGTTACGTTTCTCTAGTTGGTGTAAATCTGAAACTAGAATAAGGCATTGATTTGATTAAATTAGTCTGGAGTACTACATAAGCTACATTTAATGCTGGGAGTACTTAAAAACAGGTGCACACATATTTTTAATCAAGTATGTGGCTGGCACCTCCCTATGAAAAAGGCATACTGTAAGTTTCTTTAGTTATTTTATTGAATTTTCACATTTAAAACTCTACCTGGAAAAAAATGCATTGCTATCCAGCATTCTTTTAGGGCTGCGCTCAGCTGTAAGACTGGAATGAGTATTTCCACATTCTTATTCGCCTAAAGATGAGATCACTAAAATATTCATGTTCCCTGCTTAGGCTACTCAACGTGAAAATCATGTTGCCATGAAGGATTTGTTATACAGTACTCAAAGTAAGATATACTGCTGAATATGCAGCATCAATCTCACACACTTTACGAAGCACAACTTCATGGGAAAAGGAGGACACTGCGACTCTCAGTCTGATATAGTGAATTCACATCCATTAACTAACCAAGGGAAAATTTCCAGGATTTGGGAGTCACTAAAGTTTTATAAAATGGTTTTCTTTGCTCAGAGAGTCACAGAAACAGAGAAATCATTCTGAATGTGTCATGCATGCTCGCAGAATGTTGGCTTTCCTGTTTATTGCTATTTGTACTGATGTGATAACATCCAGACTTCTGGATCATCACTGCTGTTCCATGTTCTGTGCAACCACTGAAGCAGACAGATACCCTTTCCCTACGAGTTCAAAATGAACATGCTATTTGTCTTTAAAGCTGTAAAAGCTGTTCTTTAAAAGAATGTCATTTAACTTTCTTTTTTTTTCTGCAAGGGTTAGATATTTCTACATCCTTTATTTCTTGTTGAGCTTTACTTCTCTGTCTCTTGTATTCTGCAGACACTGTAGAAGATGAAATGGAAATGGCCACAGTACGACATAGACCTGAAGCTCTTGAACTGCTGGAAGCACAGAGTAAATTCACAAAGAAGGAACTCCAGATCTTATATAGAGGTTTCAAGAACGTAAGCACTTCCTTTTTGAATTTACTGTCCATTTGCAGGGTAGGCCACTGCAATCTCAGCAGTATAATAATGGCTGGCAATGAAGCTCATGGGATTCAGTAGCCTAATACTGCATCTCTGGTCAGGTGAGGAAACAATCACTGTGCAACTGTTGGTCCGTTTAACCACCAAAAGATGCAGACAAATTAGAAAGCGTTCAGAAGAGAATAATTGTAACTTAGTATGATAAGACTTTGTTCAAGGACAGATTGAAAATTATGTGGGAGTTTTTTTGTCTAAAGATTAAATAATGGGAGAGAATGTAAGTCCTGAAGAATTTGGTCAGTGAGAAGAAAGATTTTTATTTTTTGTGTTCACAATAGCTATCACAAGAATTAACTGGCATAAATTGCACTAGGGGAATTTTTCATTGGGTGAACAGTGGTAGATGATTTCTTCAGACCTTCCTAGCTCCCCAAGTATATAAACATGTCAGATCCCTTTACTGGGAGTCATCATTTGTGATTTTTTTTTTTCTGATATATGTGCTCTATTGGCAGGTCCATGTTTTCAGTTGGCAGGGTTCCCCACTGAGGATCCCAGTGCATGAGTGCAATCTGCCTCCTTTTCCAGTGTGTACTTTCTGTACTGTGGTGCTGGCATGTAAGGCACCCGTGGTTAATATAGCAGAGAAATCAGACACAGAAAGATTTTAGTAAGTATTATTAAATTGTGGCTCTATACCAAAAGAGCTATACCTGATTTTATTAATACTATACAAAAAACCCCCAGCTGTTTTCTTAAAAAAATAGCCTTTTTATCTCTGTTTTATTTTACTACCTTTCATGTGATTAATACTTCTATAGCATACTAAATGCTATTAACATTGGATAGAAAATACTTGATATTAAAAATCCTGACTAATACCAATTCCTTGCAAATTATGAGTGTGTAATGTTAATCTATGTACTCAGCTGTGAGTACTGCAACTATGCAGGTGCTAAGCCTCCTCCTGACCTGGAGGTAAAGATAAATTTAATTACATTTATAACCTTTTGATTTAGTTTTTCTTTCACCCTTATAAAAGGACCTTCTTCTTGCCCTTGGTATTTACCACTCAAAAGAAATTGTGTAACAAAGTATAATAATGCTAAAAGCACAATGAAGCTCAACTATGGAATCAGAGAGAATATTTTCTATAGCTTGTACAAGAAGCGTAGATCTTACAGAATTCTTAGATGTCAGGTATTTTGTAGTAAAAGCAAGCCATGCAAATGGTTGTTTTAAAACTACATTTTTATCAAAAGCCCACAATGCAAGTAAGACAGAGTCACTTAATGTGTCTTGTCCATATATCATCCTCAGTTCCAGAAGGTTTATAATGTTGGCATGTTAGTGATTAACAGTGATTGCTCTTAAAAGCTTTTCATTTCCTCAGGGTACCAGAGAACATTCCCCTGCTAATGACAGCATTCCCTAGGTATTGCAAATCATGAACTCACGTTCCTAATTATCTAAGCCAAAAGATACAAAGCATAGTGGATAAAATAAGCCTTCTGTCTGTTTCTCTAAGAATAATTATTTTTAGCGTCTCAGAAAGTAAGAACCTTGATAATTCTCTGCATAAAATGAAGTATGGAAAAAGAGAATAGGTTATAAGAAAGTATTTTAATTGATCATTGCTTTGATATTTTTTGAAAAGAGGAATTCCAGCTCTTCATGTGCTTTTGTGTTCTAAGATATAAGTTCTACTTACATCAAAGAGTGTTGATTGTAATGCATGGTAATACATCTTTATTCAGGTGTTTCATTTCCTTATCAGTACGTGATCATTCAAGACATGCATGTATAAATATCTGACTATTTAGAGCTAATGAGCATGAACTTCAGGGTTTTTTGTGTTTAATCTATTTGCAAAATTATCAGTTACTTTCAAAAATGATGTAAATTTATACTATCATAGAATACCACATTGAAAGGGACCTCAAGGATCATCTGATCCAACCTTTCTTGGCAAAACCACAGTCTAGACAAGATGCCCAGCACCCTGTCCAGCTGAATCTGAAAAGTGTCCCATGTTGGGGACGCCATCACTTCCCTGGGGAGATTATTCCAAAGGCTGATCGTTCTCATTGTGAAAAATTTTCCTCTTGTGTCCAATTAGAATCTCCCTGGGAGTAACTTGTGCCCATTACCCCTCATCTTTCCCTTGTGACTCCTTGTAGAAAGGGAGTCTCTATCTTCTTTGTAGCCGCCCTTTAAATACTGGAACATGGTGACAAGGTCTCCCCTGAGCCTCCTTTTCTCAAGGCTGAACAAACCCCCTTCTCTCAGCCTTTCCTCATATGGCAGACTTCCCAGTCCTTTGATCATTTCTGTGGCCCTTCTCTTGGCCCTCTCCAGCCTGTCCACACCTTTTTTATATAGCTGGGACTAAAACTGAACATGAGATTCCAGGTGTGGTCTGGCAAGCACTGAGCGGAGTGGGTTAATGACTTCTTTATCTCTGCTAGTGATGCCTTTGTTGATGCAACCCAGCATCCTGTTGGCTTTCTTTGCCACAGCAGCACACAGTTCACTCACAGTGAGCTTGCTGTCCACCAGGAACCTCGGGTCCCTTTCCACAGAGCTGCTGCCCAGCCAGGTAGATCCCAGTCAGTGCTGTACTCCAGGATTATGTTATCCCAGATGCAAGACCTTACACTTGTTCCTGTTGAACTTGTGATAAAAGTAAATCAATTTAAAGAGTAGTCTTTAGCCCAGGCATTAGACTTCAGAACTGAAGGATTTCAAAACTTTCAGTTGAGTTGGGGGTTGTTTCTTATATTTATCTATTTGCAGTTTCTACTGCAAAATGCTTTGCAGCTCTATGAGCAGCTTGCCTATATGGATTAGTTCATCTTTCCTGTCACATCTAGCTTTTAGCAAATACAGTTTGAGTGGCTTTGGTGGGTACTGATACAGGATGGCATTTAAAGTGCCTCCCATGGTCTGTGCTTAGATGGAGGAGCCCTGACAGTGCTCAGTCATCCACTTCTGCCTGCCACAGGCGACTCCCTTCTCACTCCCCTTCTTTCTGATCCAGCTTAACACTATCCTTCTGGTATCTCCACCTCTGTGTACTTCATGCACCAATATGTACTGGGGGCCACCCAGCTGGAAAGCAGCTTGGCAGAAAAGGACCTTGGGGTCCTGGTGGACACCAAGTTGAACATGAGCCAGCAATGTGCCATACTCCAAAATAGGCAAATGATATCCTGGGCTGCATTAGGCAAAGTATTGCCAGCAGGTTGAGGGAGATGATTCTTTCCCTCTACTCAGCACTGGTGAGGCCACTTTTGGAGTGCTGTGTCCAGTTCTGGGCTCCCCAGTACTGGAGAGAGTCCAATGAAGGGTCACAAAGATGAATAAAGGGACTGGAACACCTTTCCCACAAGGAAAGGGTAATAAAGCTAGAACTGATCAGCGTGGAGAAGAGAAGGCTCAGAGCGTATCTCATCAATGTGTACGTTATCATGTGTATCAATACCTGAAAGGAAGGTGTTAAGAAGATGGAACCAGGCTCTTTTCAGTGGCACCCAGTAGACAGGACAGGAGGCAATGGGCACAAACTGAAACACAGGAGATTCCTTCTCAACATCAGGAAGTAACGGTTTCACTGTGGGGGTGACTGAGCACTGGCATGGGTTGACCAGGGAGGTTGTGGAGTCTCCCCCCTTGGAGATATACAAAAGTGGTCTAGACAGGGTCCTGGGCAACCTGCTCTAAGTGGCACTGCTTGAGGAGGGGTGTGGGACCATATTGATTGCCAGAGGTGCCTGCCAACCTCAGCCATTCTGTGATTCTGTGAGAGTCTGTTTAATCATTCTGCTACGAAGGAAACTCCACTGAAAATATTTGATGAAACACAAAGGCACACATCTTTAACATGACACCATCCAAACTTGTGCATAACCTATCTCTGTGCTTTATGCTTTTCACTTGACGTTTGACCATCTTTCTATCTTTTCCACAATTTAACTACACAGAGCTATGTGAAGGCATGGATTTAAGTTGCTGTAGCTCTGCTGACATTGTGCTCCTGTTAGACTAAATTTAAAACATCTCAGAGCACAGTAGCATCAGCATTGCACTGTGCATTGGCAGGAGCTCAAAAGAGCTGTAGTGCAGACTAGAGTCTTAAAGGCAATGTAGCTAATACCAGCTGGCATAGTCACTACAATGCTTTGGTTAATTCAGCAGAATTACACCCTATATATGGATTTTTGCTATGTTTATATCACCAGTGAACTGTAGAATAACTATGGCTATATGTTCACTTAATATTTGGAATCAACATGCAGTAGTTAAGCTAGTTCAACTAGCTTATCAGTTGAGCTAGTTCAACTAGCTATCAGTTAAAGTAGTTACTGCTTGCTAGTCTAGGAGAGAATGTTGGTTTCAGGCAACATTTTCCCATCTATAAATCCACAGATTGCCTGTCTCTTTACAGAAGAAACAGACAGCAACTCTGTCCTCACATAGAGCCTAAAAAATCGGGAGATTTTCAATAGTTAAACTGTAATACAAACAGAAGACAAAGTATTTGTAATATTGCCAATAGTAATAACCTTAATGAACACAAAACTTTAAACTTTAGAAAGGACAAGACTCTGTACCTACTATGGTGGTAGTGAATATAAGTTCAAAACTGACATTTTTTCTGAAGAACTTGGGTATCTCTATATTATAATAGTGATTTAAGTGTGTCAGAAAGCAATGAATAAGCAAAATGGAATTTGTTTCCTGTGTATTTTCAACAGCCTTTCTAGTATACACATTTTTCCCTGTCTTTATGTAAGCATGGCAGGAAGAAATAGGTCCCAGACATGATAAAGAAAAAACAACTGGTGAAACAGAAAAAAAGCAGTACGCAGTCCCTTTATATCAGTATCCTGTTTTCAAGAGCGGTCAGATAAAGAAAATAATATAAAAATAAGAGGAATTTAGAGCGATAAATACCCTAACATAGTCTTCCTGTGCAGAAAGTTATAACTGCATCTTTGTATTTTACATACTTTAACCAAAGTTTCTTCCATAAACTGTGATAATTACTTTTGAACCTACCAGGGTATTTTGACATCTACAGCATCCTGTGGGAAATTAGCTCCATACCTAATTATGCCTTCTACAAAAAAGAATTCATTTCTGTGTCAGACCTATTTATTTATAGTATTTCTGCTGTTGGAAAATGAGTAACCATTACCATTACTTCTTTAAGATACTCAGTTTTACACACCCCTAACACATTCCCTTCTTTTCCCAACTGAAAAGTTTTTGTCTATGTATTCTCACTTCAGCCTGCTGATTTCCCCGACTCCTGTCTAGTTCTAGGATGTCTGTTCTGAGATAGGGATAAGCAGAAATTCTTACAGCTTATGTCCAGTTATTTATTACTTATGACTTCAAATTACTTACATGTAATTCTGACTGACTTCAGATGAGAAAGCAGCAAGCACTCCTGTATTTCTGTAATGTTGGTGATTGCAAATCTTGATTTATTATGTGGTTTGTACTTATACAAAAATAAAAAGGTAATTAAAGATATTTTTATCAATTTGATTTTCCAGTGTAGGCAAATTACATGCCAAATTCAGCAAAAAGTAATTCAAGCAGAAAGAGCATAGGGTCTCAGATAGTATTTCTGTGTGTATGTACACTCCTGAAAGCTTCAGAGAGTCTCAGATCACACTGTAGTATAGCTGATGCTCTAGGAAGCCAGACCTAGAGGATAACTTCAGGAAAGGTCCAAAGAGTATTGAAATTACTATCTTGGCAGTGGCTGTTTTGGCAACAGCCAAGATTGACGTTTAAAATAGAAGAGGAGGTACACTAAAGCAGACATAAGGAGGTGGGATGAGCACCTTCAGATGACCTAACAACAATTACAAGGAAAAGTACCAAGGGAGAACTTATGCCTATATTCGGTAATTTAGCCATTTTAAACTTCAGTACTGTCCTTCAAAAATGGGCTTAACGGAATTCCTAAGCCCTCCTCAGGCTCAAAAGGTTGTCCCCAGCACTCTGGTTTTACAGTGTTTCCTGCACTCTTGTTGATGAATTGTTGCTCAGCTGCCATCACAGTGGGACCTCTCCATTTTGTATTTGGCTTCCTGTCATCCCATTTTTCGTAAATTGAAATTGTGATTGCTGCAGTCATTAACCTCATTACCCTTTAAAGCCAATGGCTCTGTGGCAGGCCTAGTACAAGTGGTACTTCACAAAAAATTGCACAGACTATCAAGCATGCACTCAACATGTGGCCTGTCTTTCTCTTTTGTCCATTGATAGGTCTCTCACAGTTTTAAAAGTGTCCCTGAGCTATGGCATATTCCATTTTAAAAATACTTAGATAATGTTTTTGCTGCACAAAAGATGCTCCTGTGCTAAACTTAAATGTTAATGGTCTTTTAATTTTGGTTGATCATTCTCATCAAAAATTCTGTATATGTTGGGAAACTACTAGACTTCCCTGGAAAAGTGAAAGGATTTTTGATGAACATTGATCTTACCCAGCTGTACATCACAGAAAGTGTAAAGTGAAGTCATGCATGGATAAAAATGTCCCTGGATACATACTGTAGCTTTAAATAGGCAGATCCATCCTTGTGACATTTATTGGGAAAACAACATTTCTAAGATACCTTTCTTCCCTATTGCTGTTAGCAAATGAGGCAAACAATGGCAGTAAGATAAATAACTCTGATAATGTTGCAGCTCAAAGATAGGTTCCCCCATCATACTACCTATTGATGTACGAATAGGTTCGTGTATAACTCAAAATATGCTGATTTATTCAAAGTTGTTTCCGTTTCAATTATAGCTTGATGCAGGCATTGTATTACTGTGTGTTGCATTTGTGAGTCTCACAGAAAGTTTAATGAAAGCTCATTTTATAGGTTATAAAGCTCATTTATTCATTGTCTAGAGCATTCAAGTTTGTGTGAGAAAATACAGCGATTCTCACTGTCCTTTTCTGGAAATTTCCTTCCCTTTTGTTTGTTCTTCTGTTAGTCTCTTACAGGAAAAGAGAAGTGAGGAGAAAGTGCTTGTTTTATCTGATTAACTATATTTCCAATCTAATGAGTAGAAAATAAAAATATATGGTTCGTGTCATGTGGGTTTATCCATCTAAGGTATATCTACATACCTAGCTGTAAGAATATTCATAGGATATTTTTAATAAGTTGGACTAGATGACTTCCAGAGGTCTCTTCCAGTGACCTCAGTTCTATCAGTTTGTGATCTGAACTGCCCACATTTAGATTAGATAAATAATTTAATATACAGGATTAACTAATTGTTTGAAACTAATTGCTGTTTCTGTATTTTGCACAGCAGGCAAATCCCCTCAGAACTTCAATACACTTACAGTGTGACTTTTCACATTCTTAGCTGTAAAAAGTCTTCAAAAATAAATAAAATCTGCATAAATACTTACCGTGGAAATTCAGGTTGGTGTTTGATATGGCTTTGTGCATAGGCAATGTTGGCACTCTGACATCAAAAAAAAAAAAAATTTGAGATCACTGAGACACAGAATCTTATGTCATCATTAACATTAGCTGACGAAGTCAAATTCAAAGTTCTGATGCTGATCTTCAAAATACAGTTCTAGACCTCGTATAATAAGTGCTTATAGTCTGTATTAAAAGCTCTCTAAAATTATCTGTGGTAGACCCAGTAGTATGGTGTACAAAACTGAAGTTTAGCACCAGCTCTCGTTAGTCAGTTTATTGTGAGATAGAGCCTATGAACTGCAGAAGCCTTCAGGATGACAAGGAAGCTACTTAGGCTGGCTAATATAAAACACCAGGTACAAATATTTATCTGAATTTATATCCCTCCAAACCCTATGTATCTAAATATTAGGCACCTTCATGAGCTACAGTGGTCTGCTGAGAACAGGTGCCTGGCAGAACAAGGTGGTTTTTATCCACATGTGGTATAACAGCCAGGTAGTTAGAGCATTTTCCCATGTTTTAGAGGTTTAAAAAGTGAAAGAAAAATTACAAATTTGATAAAAGTAATTGGGACTTAGAAGAGGAAAACTCAGTTGGTGCACTGGATAAAATAATTTTCACTGTATAAATCACTTCTCTACTCCTGCAATTTCTTGTTTAACGATTAAGATGAAGATTAGGTATATGCTGTGCATTTTACAGTATATGCACTAACTTGTGCAAAACCTGAAACATCTCAATGCAGTTTTGAGGGTACAGAAGTTAAAGTTTTCAGACTGGTTTAATTTTTCTTGTATATTTGTGTGCATGGTATTCTAGGAACATTAAATGTATTTGTTTTGCTCGTTGTATTTGGAACTTACTTGGTAACAGAGGAGGTATAAGAAATGTATATCAGTGTCCTACACATGGATGACTTTTACCTTTACAGCTATTCCATTTGCACAGCCTCTGATCTATGACAAAGAGAGATGTACAGTTATGTCTTTTACCTCTGTTGTTCCAATGTAATTTCTAAGATAATCAATATCTTGATTAGAATTTATTTACTACAAATGGAAAATGTGTTCCCTTGCCTTATATTTGTGAGATGTTGAAAGCTGACAAGGGACATAGGCATTTGTCTATAAAAGAGATTAAAAAAATGGGTGATGCAAGGAGTTTGAATACCTCCGTGATGATCCAACTAGAAATTTTGAAAGTCCATTCCATTTTCCTTGCTTCCTTACTTAACTTTTGCCACCTGTTCTAAAGCATTACAAGGGGCAAAGACAACATATTCCTTTTAGTTATATGTATGAAACCTGGTGTATTATGAAATAGATGGTTTCACACTATGAGAAATAACACTTTAGCTTGGATCAGCTATCTCTGAGTCATCGGTGTCCCCCATCTGACAGAATCAAAGGTAATCTTCAGTTTGCTGTGATCCCGTACAGTTCTATGCTGAATCCATATGTTTGTATTGTGATGAATAAATGCAGATTCAAGATTAATACAAACCAGAAGAGAGAGAGAAAAACAAAACTGAGCATGAGTGACAATGGCACTAGTGCAAGAGTATTTTGCGCCTCACATTGGTCCTCTAAAGCTTGTTCTTGCAGATAAGGTAGCGTACAGATTAAATATGCTTTTCACCCTCCCTCACGGAGTCTTAGTACAGCAAGGAAGATTTCATTTAACCAGCAGTCAGTGCAGTTGCTTTTCTATCAACATTTGACAATTGTCTGTAGAAGTCCTTGTGTTACATAGCATGTAATCTTAGCAAAAGCAGGTTCCAGACTTTCTTTCTGATCAAACAGAAGAGAGTCTGGAAGAAAAATATAGGTCAGTTAAAGGTTCCCACCTAGTTCTCCTGGCTAGCATGAAACAACACTAAAACCATTTGACCTCTATCCCTCTGTGACTCTAAATATGAAACAGGGGCTGGGTTGTTTTGCTGGGTAAGTGTATAAAAGTCATGCATTGTGCTGAAAATTTTTGCAGAGGTGCTGATCCCTCTGCACAAGCAGTATATGAACAGTGGTGCTGTGGACATGAAGAGGATGTATATACAAAGCAGCACCAACAACTTGTCTTTTCAAATAGATGCAATAATGACACCTGAACAGGTTGTGCCTCATGCATATAAACCTGCTAAATTTGTCACATAGAAATGCCAATAAAACAGCAAAAAAATAAGGTTCTGTATCTTACTAGAAAATCAGATAATAACAATTCAAACTGAAAATTAACATCTCCCCATGTTAGAAAAGTTGCTTAGCCTTAATAAACTAAATAGACAACAGCATAATGAAACGCCAAGCAAGTAAACCTAGAAGTTGGATACCATGTCTGCTGTCAACAGACAGATTTCTGTAAATTATCTTTTTCACCTAGAGAGAGTTTCTGAAGACATGTATAATGCACATAGCCCAAACCTCTGTTTTTTAAAATTCAGTTGTTATTTACTGGTTGTGCTTCAGATCAATTGTTTTCTCAACTTTAGATGAGTGAAGAAAAACTTTAAAAAAAACTCAAAACTTTGCCAAGGCAGAATTTTCTTACTATGTTTTAAAAGCAATGACATTCATTTATTGGGGGCTTAGAGGGAGCTTTTCTGTATTTCAAACAAGGCTATGTGAAAATCTTTTTAAAAACTGAGCAATAAATAATGCTTACATTCATTATGTATTTCCTTCAGGAGTTAGTCAAGAAACTTGAAACTTTTCAAATATAAAAGTAAAAACAATTTGGAGGTACAGTTTGACAGACCTAGAATATAGTTGTCATTCATCACAAATTTACAGACCTTAATGCTTTCAGCGGAGATACTCGTTTCAATTAGTCTCACAGTTGCTGGCAGAAATTGAAATCTTCTTTTTGAAAGTTAATAATGAAAGCAGTCCCTACACTACTATTCATCTCTTGACTTACTGCTGTTCATGGAGATACCTCATGTCATGTTCACCACGGAGAAACTGTCATCTAGCATACCAAGGACTGTCTTCATAATAGTGATTGCTTACTTCTGAATTATCTCTGAAAAATGTAGATGCCAAGTCGCTAATTAAGCAGCATATAAAAAGAGCGTGATTTTAAGCACTCGGTATCAATAATAGTGCAGAGCGCCAAATAGCTCTAAAGTTTTTCTTTACTCTAAAAAAGTCAGTATTATGTTTTGGTGGAACTGTATTGTTCTGTGTGCTTGTCAGTCCCTCATTTTGAAACTTGCAGTACCCTGTCCTGTGCTCTGGTGTGCTCTCCACAGGGCTCATGGTAAGGCATGCCATCAGTCATGCCAGGCTGACACTTGACGCACAGTATATACCTTCCAGCCAGCTGCTCAGTGTATCTCATCTGCTGGTAGAGCTGTTTTCTACCACAGAGCTTTCATGTGCATCGGTATGTGATATCTGAGGAATATAAATGTTTATGTACTAGTATATGAGCAGCAAAATATCTTCTCTGGCTACAGCTCACCGCAGTTACTTTTTTGCTGCGCCCGGACTAAATATAACAAAGCTTGGTACCTGAGTTATGTGAAATTGTTGCATTTTGCTTTCTGGGTAGTCACTAACATTATAGAAGTAAAATTAGGTGCAATGCACCACTGATGATGATGTTTAAAAAATTTAGTGAGTAGACACCTCTTATTCTCCTTTCTTCCATCTGTCCCCTTTATGAGGTGAGATGAATATTAACTGTAACTGCTGTAAACACTGCACATTATAACACACAGCTTAGCATAAAATGTTTTAGCCAGTTCATCAGTTGAGAAATGTGTTAAAAAATTCCCTCTACTTGGATTTCTTGCTACCAGTTTTCTTACTTTTAAAAGAGGTTTTATATAAAACATTATAATTACATTTTAAATCCTGTACTAATTTGTCTCTCTGTTACACTGCAATTCAGGAACGCAAAGTGGACACACATATTTTCAGATGGGCATCCTAAGGCTGCAAAATGAGAGGAGAGGGAATAAATACATCTTCTGGTGATACTTCTGGACAGTGGAGTTCAACCTTTTGGGTCCTGATTACTTCAAAACTTTATAGACAAAATCTTATTTGTGCTGGACTCAGGGATCTGTTCTGGACCCTAGGAATTTCCTAGTATTCCCTAGTAATTTTAGATCTTTATAAATTTTTCTTGTTTAAATTCCTGATCAATTTTTAAAAAATCAGCAATGTGTAGGTTTTGTCAGAAAGCAGTGAAACTGTTAAAAGTCCTTTCTTGATTTCAACAGAATTAATTTCTTATTAGAAATATCTTTAGATCTACATCTGTGCTAAAAATAAACACCAGTACATCTTCAAATAAAACAGCAAATCACAAGTGACAACGCATCAAGGTCAAGTCTTTCAGTGTCATGGAAGTTTATTACAAGTCTTGGGCTAACCTGCATTTACCTTTGGCTGAAAGTCTAAAATCCAGTATCTAACAGAGCCCATATTCTTTAGATCAGCTGGACATTTGCACAGTTGCTCTTCACTCTGATTATGCGAATGATTCTCATGTTAACTTTCAAGTAAGGGAATTTATTCAACCCAGTCAATTCCATTGTGAAATATACTTGAAGGACCTTGGATAGGGTGAGTATAACAGAAGAAACAGGAGCCAATAACTCGGAAGACAGCAGGATTCAGTAGACACAGCATGAAACTAGAAGTCTAAAGACTCTAGCCTTTTGGCTCTCTTGCTGGCTTATTAACTGCTACGCACCTTTAAAAGCCTTAACTATCACACTAAAAAGCTTTCTGGGTTGCAAGAGAGAATTATACCATTACTTCACTGTCTGCACGGGCTCCACATTGACAACTGCCTATTTAATGTCTCTGGTCTGACAGCCAAAACCTTTTAGAGTGTGCCTGGCTATCTGAAAGATTGCTTCTCAGCCTTTGATCAAAGCCTCCTCAAACTCGCCCTGGGAACAAAGTGGGGAGCACCAGTAGGGGGGCCAGTGGCTGTGGGAAACTGAACTTTCCCAGGAGCTGGAGATAGCAAAGTTCATCCTTACAGGAGAGAAAAATGAACACTGAATTCCTCAGCATTAACAGTGAAATGTGTGTTCTGCGGGCAGTATATTTGAGTGAGACCACTTACCCCTCCGTGACCAAGATCCATATCCGTCAAGTGGACGTAACAGTAACCTTGTCCCTGAAAAAACACTGATCTGGGAAGCACTCTACGTGGTATTTCTAACAACTATTTGCTTGCTCCATTTATGTACCTCTGACACTGTGACCAGCTTCACTGTGACCTCATAAAAAGAAGTGCCAAGAATAATTTTTACAAGTAAACCCCCAGTAGCTGGATATAGCAGTATTTGTCTCTGGCACACTATCTACCAGCAATTGTAGGTATCAGGCAACAGACACATGATTATGCATGTGATTAAAAATGTCAGCACTAAGCACTGGCTGTAGGTGGACAGGAAGCATATTGTACAGGCTGCCAAATTTGGATCAATAGGCAGGAAATCCAGGTTCAATAATTAACTGCCATATTGCCCTGTTTACCTCACATTCTTTTTGCACCTCTTT